TATATATATATATATATATATATATATATATATATATATATATATATATATATATATATATAAATATATGTAAACATCCAGTATTTATATTTGATTTTATTTCAGCTTTATTTCAATTATTGAAAATTATTTTGGATAGTTTAAGTTAACAGTAACAACACTTTGGTGCAGTGGTTGTGAAAGTAAATGTAAAAATGTAATCTTCATATTCTTTTATTATTCCTGATGAAAGCACACAGAAGACTGAGCTTAACATCTGTGAATGAGATTGGAGGATTGTGTAGGTGTTGTATATAGGAAACCTCTAGACTTGCTAATGGAGGGCAAACGCTCAGCCTCTTTTCTGACAGTTGCTGCCCTAATAAGATTGGGGATAAAGCTCCATCCCTGCTGCGGCCCATGCAAAATTAATGATGTTTTTCTTTCTTTTATACATTTTATTTTGGAATACAGTTTGGGAATTGTAGACGGAAAGTGCTTTGAGAAATGAAATCCAGAAAGAGAGAAGGAAAGTATATGTATGGAAGCAGAGCAAAACGGTCCTGTGTGTGTTTCTTTTGTGAATGGTAAATATATATGTATGTATATATTTAATTGGGGTTCATATCGTGATCATGCCGATGGCACATTAAAATGCTGTCTGTGTAGGCAGCTGATTAGTGTTTGGACCAGAGCCATTGTCTTCATAGAATTTCATTCAGATTGGTTGAGATTCAGCCCCGTTCTGCTGCCGTCTGTTGTGATGCATCCTCGCCGCTTCGATCCCACCCACCATAATTTGAAACGACGCATTCCATAAAGATTGAATTGATCGTATAAAAGAGCTGAGCAGACTAATCATGACCTGTTTAAGCCTCTAACTACCCCCTTCAGTTCGCGTGCGTCGCGTCCCGACCTCGTCTCTCTCGGCTTCCTCCGATGAGGCTTGTTGTCAGTTCACGCTGTCGATTGAAAGCGGCTAAATGTCTAATTGCGGTTCTTTGCCGGTTGTCTGTGCAGGACTGATGATTGCTGACAGACTCCATTTACAGCGTAATTGCTTCTCTCATGGTCTTCGGGCGATGTAATGTATTCCTGATGCTGGATACATTCTAATAATGTCATATTACCCACAATGCCCAGTCCCTCAGAGGGGTAGACAGAGTCCATCATGGCTCACACATCTGTAGTCTGTGAATGTGTGTCAGTGCGTATCTGCATGTGTGTAATCCAAATCTTCCCTTCAGAGTTAAATTTTTCCCTGTAGAGTTTCAGTCTTTACTCTGGTAAAAGCCCCACTGTGAGTGAAGACGGACTAGATTGCTCCGCTTCTCTCACAGGAGATTGGGTTTAGACTGTGATTGAAATGATTTTAAAGGAAACCTCACCCTAAAATTGATTTTTCTATTATGTTTCAGAATTTTGAAGCACTAATATAGGATTTTTAAAGACTCTTAAAGGGATAGTTCCTTTAAGGAGATCGGTAAAATAGTCCATGTGACATCAGGGGTTCAACCGTAATATTACAAAGCTACGAGAATACTTTTTGTACGCAAAAGAAACGAAAAAAACGATTCAACAATTTGTCTTCTCCGCGTCACCCTATAGCGCCATTTTGGAGAGTATCCACTGAACGCAAACAGCGTATGTTGTTCTGTGTCAGCTGCGCTACGCAGATACGTTTTCTACGTTGTTTGTGCTTTGATTTGAACAAAAACAACGTATCCGTTTGGTGCGGCTGACTCAGAACAACATACGCTGTTTGCATTCAGTGGATACTCTCCAAAATGGTGAGCTTCGTAATATTACGGTTGAACCCCTGATGTCACATGGATTATTTTACCGATCTCCTTGCTACGTTTCTGAGCCTTGATCGTGTTAGGATCTATGGGAGGGTCAGAGAGCTCTCGGATTCCATCAAAAATATCTTAATTTGTGTTCCGAAGATGAACGGAGGTCTTACAGGTTTAAAACGACATGAGGGCGAGTAATTAATGACCGAATTTTCATTTTTGGGTGAACTATCCCTTTAAAGTTGCAGTTCAAATGGTATGATAGCTTTGTGTGACAGATCAAAATTTAGGTTGATTCATTATAACATTTCTAAATGTTTAAGCCCATATTGGATATGTATGACACATATTACATATTTAATTGTGCATGCTCATTTCTTGTATTTTTTTCTTTTCATTTAATATGCCTTTCCCTTCATCTAAGGCTCACTTAAATGTAGTCTTTAAAATAAAATACAAATTTAATAACACTGTTAAATGTAATGTTTACCAAATCTCAAATATATATGCGAGTAAAAATATGTAAGTGTAAAATGAAATAAATGCTGCTATTTATTTATTTAGTTATTTATTCCTTGTTAAGAATCTCTTTCATGCCTTTAATTTTGTTTCATATTTTTTGTTCTTTTTTTTTGTACCTTGTTAAATACCGTACATTTTAAAAAAGTAATTACATTTTTATCTGTTTAGAGGTCACTATAAACTGTTGACTGGAATGGAACTGTGTGAAAATTCTTTTAAAGCTCCATACTGGTTTCGAATGACATTAGGGGAGAGTAAACAATGGCAGTTGTGCTATTGCGTGAACTAAGCTTTTAAGGTAGTAAAATGCCAAGCTTAAAACGTTCAAATCTTGTATGCTTAGAGGCCTTAAATTTCAGCATGGAGAACCGGTGATGAATAAGTCACATTCTTCACCCTCCTCCATTGTTTGCTTCTCTGGCATGTTGTTGTAAGTCTAATCTGTAGATTGTGGAACGGCTTGCGGGAACTGAATAAACAAATTCACCAAGTGTTGGTGTGTGAAAACATCCTTATC